TATCATTTGCATGCTATGTACAAGTTCATGGTTTCTTCAGTAGGATGACATTAATCATCACCAAAAGGAAAAGTGGGACACACCTCAGGAGTGTCTTCCTACATAACATCTTTTGACAGCACACAGTTTCTTCTGAAAAGCCCCATTAGGAACCCATGAGCTCTGCATGCTTTGTCTAATCTGATGTTTAATGGAACAGCGTGATATGTATCCATCTCAAAAGCAAAGACAGTTTTGCCATGTGGAAGTAACCCTCCTGAACAACCCAGGGACAAAAGCAACTACACTATTAGCTTTACAATCAGTTGGTTTCTTCCTTAGCAGCTATTTTCTTTCCTTCACAGCAGCAGCTCTACCTCAGGGATCAACTCAGTTGTGGCACACAGATTATAGATATGTTCTGGCCTGAATTGGACAGCATACTTTTGCCCTCTTTGGCCGTTTTGGCAACAATCTAGATTCAATGATCAAATTTCATGTGTCACATTACAAAACTTGTTTGCTTTGAATCTCTCATATATCGGGCAACGGAAGTTATCTTATGCAAAACAAAAGCATGCAAATCCAGTGTGGAATTCATTTTTGATTCTTGGTACTTCAGTGGAGTCATCCATGCAGATTTCTTGGCATAGTACAAAATCTCATTGGAACAGGTTTCAGAACTTCTGCTGCTTAAGTGGAATTTTCAAACAAAGAGGATCATTGCACCATTATATTACTCCTAGTTAATTTCAAAATATCTTCATTAAGGGGAAAATATTCACTTTTTTCTATTTATTTATACATATATTTGTTAGATAAATAGTACACATATTCCGTCCTTCCACAAATGTCTCCAAGCCAGTTAATTTACAGTAAATTTTTAAAAATCAGTAAGAAATATATTAAAATCAAGTGTAAAACAAATTATGGAACATTTGAATGTTCAAATGACAACACATGTCTTCATTCCTTTCCAAAATGTTGAAAAACTGGGAAGCATCCTAACCGCATTTGCATCCGTTAAAGCTTCTTTTTTGTTCAGTTAATGAATAACCAAACATTGTGGTGAATCAATAAACTATTCCTGGATTAGATGAATGGTTGCAACTGGCTACCTGAGCCTGTCTTAGCGCTAACCAGTGGCTATTCCTCATTCTCTAGATTCAGTCTCAGCTTGTCCATCTTCTAAATTATGTTCAAGGTTGTCAACTACTTTCATATGTGGCAAATGGCAGTACAGTTAAATTTCACTTGTGTTATTAACATCATCTCTGCAACGCTTTGATGGCTCCAGCTGCTTCACCAATTGTGGTTTTAAAGTAAAAGGATCTTGCAACAGTGACTCACGGCATTGCTATTTTATGTCATTAGGTATTGTTCTAGCTTAGTTTATGATTGTTGAATTGGTTTTGATCTTCTATGTATTTTACTGTAGTTATTTTATATATACACCACTGAGAGTCTCATGACTGCAGTCAAGTTCCAGGGTGATCAACTGGTACTAGAGAACAAATGGCTCTGTTGTGAGAGTTTTCAGGTGAAATGTTTAAGGATGAATTATGAGTGCTAGCTGACAGCAAAGGGTTAGAATTGGAAGAAACAGACCTCATGGCCTAAATTTGGGTCCTAGAACATCAGTGTGTGGAAAAACAGATTGGAAATATGAAGATGAATGTGAGAGCAGATAGCGGAGAAGGGAGATTGAGAGAAAAGATAGATGAAGGACTTACTATTGTCTGTTAAGAAAGGACAACTGTAGTTGTGCTTTGTTTGTTCCCCAGCTGGATGAATCCTGGGGTTCACTATCATTGTGGGAAGAGAAGTCTGTGTGGCATCTATATGGATGGCACTGTATGATTGAATTTTAGCTGCTGCAATTTGCTGAATCAGTGTGATGGCTGCCATTTCCACTATAGCAACCACTGGAGGCCCAATCAGAGCATGGTGTTAGGTGCTAAATCTTGGAGAAGACTTCTGGAGAAGGAAGTGCTTAGTCAAGGATTCTCACCATGCAAGCAATCTACCCCCAGACGATAAGAGACTGGCAAAGAAATGAATAGCACATGGGGCCTTTCATTGGTTCCCAATAGATTTCCAGGTTCAATTGCTGATGTTGACCTATAAAACCTATATGGCTTGGCACCTGGATACCTGCAGGACCATCTTCTCCAATCACAATCAGCCAGACTACATGGTTGTACCAGAGAAGATGCTGGTTGTACCTGGCTTCCATGAAATCAGGAGGACTGATATGTACAGTTCCTGTTTCTTAGTAGTAGCACCAGCCCTCTGGAACAGCACTTTTCTTTTAGGAGAATGCTCAAAACTGAGCTCTTTAATGGAGCATTTGTGGATTGCATGCCATCTACCTTAGATTTATTGTTAAGGTATTATTAGGATCTGATTGTTATTTAATTTTGAAAATGATTACTTTATGCATGTTGTTTAATTCTTACCATGAATGTTTATCTGTAAAACATTGTCAAACAAATATCACCTGAAGTTTAATGCAAATATTAACTAACAGGAGTAAGGCTGGGTCAGCAGAATCTAAAGGCTGTGGTGCTCAAAATTACTTCTCCAGCATCACCTGGGGACATACCAGTCAAGAAAGATGAGAATCACCACCACTTTCTCCAAGCCTCAGCTGCCGAAGAGAGAAGAATAATATCATAGTCAAATGTATGGAAAGCAACCAAAAATTTGAATGGAACCACAAATATCACTTGCCAGCTCTACCACCCAGTCATTTACCAATTGGCTGAAGCAAATTTCATCCTATATCTCAGCTGAAAGCTTGACTAAAATGAGGCCTGATAATTGTATTATACAAATATAATTAGAATTTCAGTCTCACTGTGACCAATGAATCCTCAATCACAGTAGCTAAGAAAGGGATTTGACATGAAAACCTCCTAAGAAAATACTCAGGATTCATCTTCATTGGGTGAAATAGGAATGAGATAATACTGAGCAGCTTTATTCAAACCTTTACAAACTTTAAAATATTCCATTCATGAAAAATTATGACTTGAAATGTATTGGGAATCCTGCAACAGTATACTTGGCTTCTTTATTTTGGTTGTGGCTTTATAACTGATTTTGCTCCTTCTTATTGTTCACATTTACCTTGGACAGAGGTTCTCAAAGTGTGTGTCTGCCCCCCCCCACGAAGGTGTAGTGAGCAACTCTGAAGGGGTGTTAAACAAATAAATAAAGTAAGCCTGATCAGACTTATGCAGGTGAGGCCGGACCATTGTGAAGACTCACTCTGGGCTTTGTTCCCCACTTCTCCTGCACAGGTGCACTGTGGACAATTGTACCACAAAGTCCGAGGATCCCAGTGATATATATACATTAAAACATACATATATGTTAAAATTTATCAAAATAAAGTGGTTTATTTATTTTTTGCCCAAACCTAAGCTCAGTGAAATCCTTAGTTCTATACATGTGTTTTATCCGCATTAATATATTTTTGTATTTATTTATTTATTTATTTATTTATTTATTAAATTTATCTCCGCCCATCTCCCCCTGATGCGGGACTCTGGGCTGCTCATATAACCCATTAAAACAATAAATATATATACAATCACATAAAACAAAAAGTGTACAAAACTTTACTAAAAGAAAAAAAAAAATTCAAGAGGCTGATGGTTTCCAGAGCTGCAGACAACAGGCTTCTAAGGGACTAGCGATCCCCATGCCTGATGTCTTCCCTCCCCACCCTAGGCCAAGCGGCAGAGCCAGGTCTTCAAATCCCTCTGGAAGGCCAGGAGTGGGGGAGCCAATCTCACCTCCAGGGGCAAGATATTCTAAAGGGCAGGGGCTACAGCAGAGAAGGCCTGCCTTCTGGACTCCGCTACTCAGACCACTTTTACCGGGGGGGTCCAAAGCATGCCCTTTCTGTGTGATCAGGTGGGATGGCTTAAAGTCTGGAGAAGAGGCGGTCACTCAGCTAACCTGGTCCCATGCCATGTAGGGCTTTAAAGGTGATAACCAACACCTTGAATTGGACCCGGAAGCAGACTGGTACCCAATGCAGCTTGCAGAGCAACTGTGTTATGTGGGCCCTTCTTGGGACCCCAAAACTATATCGTGTCAGGAGGTCACAGTACCGCAAAGGTACAGGACTATTTAGATAATCACTACTACAATTACCTAAGAATAGCCTGGACCACATCAGGGATCAAAATACTTGGGGGAAAATCTGTTTAAAAAATAGAATTAAGAACGTTCAGCCCTAGCTCTAACTCTCACCCACCTAATCAAGCTCTAATTGTAAGTTGTTTTTGTTAAAGAAACCTGCCCTCCACCACCTCAGCTTCCCAATGCCATCAATATCGCCGAGATGAGAATCTACAGGAGTGGAGAAGAAATCAGCTTCAGGTGTGAAGAACGTTTCCATCTTCGTGGGCCACAAAAAATAAAGTGTGAAGATGGAAAATGGCAAACACCTCCACGCTGTCTTGGTTTGTATGCTCAGTTTTGCCTTCACTTTAAAGAAACTGGACATTGCAGAAGAAGTGTAAACAGCTGTTTGAAAGAAGGTAGAGGAAGCATTGTGGAATTCTTCCTTGGCCATTTATCAGCAGTGGCCTCTGGCTGTATGTGTGCACTCTCCTCCAAGGGACTAATCAGGTTGCCGGTTGCCTCTGTGTGTGCTGCTGTGAGAGTCGGATCAGGGTTGGTGTATAGGTACTGCTACGTTTTATGTGTGTTTTGACTCCGCCCTGTTTCTATTGCATATGCCCCGCTCTGGATCACATGACCAAGAGGGAGGGGCTTAGGATGGAACAGCTGGCAGCATCTTGAGCCTCTCCCAACTGCCTCCCGTAGGGTTTTTTTGGCATAGGGAATTTTTTTTCTAAAAGGTCTGTCATTGAAAGATAGAGATTTGCTATTCAGATACAATAGAATTTTCTTTATGATATTTGATTTCTTTAATTAACAAACCTTCCTCGGTTTCCCATTTCTAGATTTACGATGTGACCCTCCTCCTCAAATTGACAATGGCATAGTAAAAATTGGTAACCACACAGTGTTTTTTTCCGGTGACAGTGTGGAGTATCTTTGCTGTTCGGGTTTTGATATTAGTCAGTCAAATTCTGTAAAATGTGAAAATAGAAAATGGTCTAAACCACCTGTTTGCAAAGGTAAGAAATAGTACTTCCTTCTATTGAAATGTCAAGGATAGATTGTAGTTCTAAGAAAAAGTTGTCCATCCATTTTTTTTCAATCTTACACTGTTGTTTGAAATTATGCAAGGAAGATGCATAAACAAGGAACTCAGTGGTTTTGTATAAATATTGAGAAGCCACACATCTCAAAAATGTCATATATATGGCCTCAAACAATAATCTCAAATGAAACATCCTGCAAACTTTCAGAACTGTTATTGTCAGAGCAGGGTTCTGATTTCAAAGGCACTCTTACACTTATTCACAATTTAAAAAGGTTTCAGAAGGAGTCATTTGCACATCACACAACCATGCCACCTCTCTGTCGTTCAGCAAAGAAGCCCAATTTTTCAAGGTGAATCTGAAAAGGAAATGCCACCGATTGAGTGGATTAGCTTCAAAGATTATCTTTCCTGAAGGATTCACTTTACCACTCCAGAGAATAGATGGAGAGTGTCAATAGTTTAAGCATCAAAGGGCGGCCCTCTAACCACTACACTATTCAGCCTATCTATCTATCTATCTATCTATCTATCTATCTATCTATCTATCTATCTATCTATCTATCTTATAAGAATTTACATAAAACAAAAGACAAATCTAAAGAAAGAGATTGAAAAGAAAGAAAAAAGAAATACGTGCAAGAAAAGAAAGAAAAAGAAAAGAAAAACTAAAGTTGGGAAATAGGACTTCCAACCTTCTCTTCAACAGATACTAACAAACTTATTCTCTCTCTTAACTCTTCCAGTAATTCCTTCAACCCCTTATTTACTTCTTATCTGTGTCAATAATTAAATTTGTAAATCATGATTTCACTTTTTTCTTCTTTTAGCAAAAAGTCCATAAAAGGTTTCCAGTCTTTTAAAAAAAACAGTTGTTGTTTTCTTCCTGACCAGACAAAGATATTTTTGGACACAATCTGGGTTTGTATTTGTTCCATATTCTTAGAATGGCACTTCTGACATAATGATTTTTAAAATCCATAGTAACTTTATTGTACCTTAAAAGTTTATCCCATTCAAACGTCAAGTTATGTTATTCCAATTCTAGCATTCTTCTACAGTATTTCTCAGCCACACCTACTCTTTCATCCAAATTACAGGCTGCAAAATAATCCTAATCCTTACGCACATTATTCAACAAAGAAATTAGTCTATACTTTTTTGAAAAAGTAGGAGCCTGACCTTCCATATGTATTAAAGCAATATTTGCTCCTTTCCAACTTTCTGATATCAATCCTTTTTCTAAAATAGTGTTCATCATCCCTTGTACGGGTTCTTCAAAACATTTATAGTAGGATGCCGGTAAGCCATCTGGTCCTGGTGCTTCCCCCATTTTAGTTTTTTTTTTTTTTAATTGCTTCACAGACTTCTCATATTGTTATAGGACCATTCATCATTTTTTCTTTTTTCAAATAACTTTATTAGATGTTAGAATAAATGCAGTAAAAATGAACAAAAACTAGCATTAAAGAAAAAGAATAAGAAAGAGAAAAAGATTGAAAAAGAGAAAGAGAACAAAGTCAAAAATGCAGAAAGCAAAAAAGAAAAAATAGAAGAAAAAATGACTTCCAACCTTCCTCACAACAGATATAAGTAACAATTTACACTAAATTCTTACCCTAAGTTTACCACATTTTTTCCACTCTCTTATTTCTAATATTGTTTCTGATCATCAAATCCAAACAACATAATTTCATTTTTTTCTGTTTCATGCAAAAAGTCCAAAAAAGGTTTCCAATTAGCATTAAAATTACTTGATGTCTTTTCTCTAATCAAAGCTGCCAGCTTTGCCATTCCAGCCAATTCCACCAACTTCACCATCCATTCTTCCATTGCAGGGAATGTCAAGTCTTTCCACCTCTGTGCATATAAAAGCCTTGCAGCTGTTATCATACATAAAACAAAGTTCCATGGTTTTTTCCCAGCTGTTTGTCCATCAAACCCAGAAGAAAAGTCTCTGGTTTTGATTGTATATTAATCTTTAAAATCTTCTGCTCTAAGGTATGTTTTTGATTCCAAAATGTTTTAGCTTTTTTACAAGTCCACCAGAGATTATAAAAAGTCCCCTTGCTCATCATCTTCTTTTGTTTCTCTGTTATTTTTAGAAGCTTAGATTTCTTTAAGAATTCATCAGCTTCTCATCTGAGATCTGCTCACTTTTATGTAATTTTGTGCAATATTTTTGAAAAATTCTTTGCATAGTTACATGATCTTTTACCATGGCATTCCATTTTTTGCAGTTTTAATATCATTTTTCTCCTTTTTCCCCTCAACTTATATACCAACCACTTCCTTGGTTTATTTGGTGAATCAAAATTCTTTTGTTTAGCAAAATTCATTTTTATTTCCATTTCCTTAACCATCAGCATAGAAAGTTGACTTTCTAAAAGCATAATTTGTTGTAAAATGCCTTTTTTTCCTGGTGAACGTTTTAATTCATCTTCCTTGGTTTGTATCTCTGCTAAAATCTTTTGCATCTTTTCCTCTCTTTGTTTTTATTTCAATTTGGAGTTCTATAATATAAATTAACCTCTCATAAATGCCCTACTTGCATCCCAGACTATTCTTATTTCTGTATCTTTATTCAGATTGATTTTGAAAAATCCCTTTAATTCTTTTTACAGTCCTCAAGTATTGATTATTTCTGTAATATGGTTTCATTTAATCTCCATCTATATGTTTTTTTCTTGCATGTCATAATCACTGGATTATGATCTGAGAAGGTTTTTGGTATTATCTCTGCTTTATTAGTATATGTAGATAGCTTCTTTGAAATCAGTAACATATCTATTCTTGAAAAAGAACTATGTTTTTTTCAGAAAAATATGTTACATTCTCTAGAATTTCCATGTCTCTATATATCAATAAGTTCCAAATTCTCCATCATTTTAAAAAAAAAATTCTCGGAAGTTTGCCTGGTGTTAATTTTTTTCACAGAAGTTTTGTCTTTT